GGGGGGGAGGTTGGGTGGGGGTGTTGGCAAGCATTACCTGCTTTGCACTCTGTAGTTCAGGCAGCAGAGCACGTGTCTTGCAGCAAATCAACCAGCACATTTAACCAGCAGACATGCAGAGTTGTTGTTGCATACTCATGAAACACAGTCATAAGTATGGCGCAGATTCCCAGAACCGACCAGATAATAAAGAGTTAATACAAATGCAAGCGGAAGACTTGAGATACCTTGGACTGACTCGGACTGCAATCGAGCACTCTCAAGCATTCATCAGCGGCGTGAATGCCCTAGCCTTAAACATAGACGAGAGTCCAGGGGTTGAGATCATCCACAAACGAAGGGAGAGAGGGAGAGACGAAAGGAGGAGGAGAGGGAAAATGACGTCAACTCAATGTTTCCAAAGATAGTATCTTGAAATGTCAGAAGTGACGAAAATCCGAAATGTCACGAATGCGAAGTCTCACAACATCTCAGATATCGATCTCACACTGTCAAGTACATCTTCAGAAGGAAGATGAAATCTGATCCCCAAGTAGTCCTCAACTCGTAGTCCCAATGTCGCTGTTCCCAATGTTATCAGAATTCATAACCATCCTTCATACTGCAGTAGTCCCGTAGGAGAACCCAAAATTAGACTTGGACAGAGAAGGTAGAAGGAGAGAGAGAAAGAGAGAGAGAGAGAGAGAGAGAGAGAGAGAGAGAGAGAGAGGGGAGGGGTGGAGGAGATGAGGGAGAGAAGGTGAAGCCTTCCTCCCTGGTACCTCTCACAGTAGCTATGGCGCTGCAAGGGGGCTGGGCCGGTAACTGGCGCTGCGCTAATCCTCTCGCCGCTGAACTCTTGCTCTCTCGCTGCTCCTCGATATGGTGCAGCGCTGCGCTATTTGAGCTAACGCTGAACCGATGCGCTAATCCTGAAGACTAACCTTTAGTCCATGCTAACCTACCGCTGAGGCTGGTACCCAGCCTTTTGTAGTGTTGGGCCGGCCTCCTACCTGCTGGTACCTATCGGCCTGGACCGTTGATCTGAATCAACGGTCCAGTTTTGAACTGGACTTGGCGCCTAAATTTGGCAGCCTCTGCAGCGCCGCCGGTAGGTCCTATGCTGGACCGGTACCGGCCTTATGGCCGTTTGGCCTGGGCCTCTACCCTAGGCCTGCCTGAACCGTTGTGGTCCAGGCCCATCTGCGCTTCATCTGAACCGTCGTCCCTTAGGCCTACCCTGCCTATTTGGAACCGGGCCCTAACTGGGGCCCGTGTGGCTCAGAATGCCACAGTTGCAAATAGTGCAAAGCAGGCCCTAACTGTGTGTGTGTGTGTGTGTGTGTGTGTGTGTGTTTGGCGCCGCAGCTGTGAGGAGCACGTTGTTC